AGCCACATTGTAAGTTGAATCAGTTCCCAGGTTGTTCTATATAATAGCCGTGGGTCAGTCACAGGGCTTCCTTTGAACAGGCTTTCAAGTTTATGTGAAATGCTGCCGACTCGTCGAATTCCAATAAATTATACAAGGCTTGGCTTTAAAAACAGCTACAAAATGGCTCTACAAAAGGCAGCCACAAAACTCACGAGCTTTTGCAAACCAAAGAAGCCAAGAGGGTGTCAGCAGCAGCCCCTCTGTGAAACCTCAGGAATCATTTGCCCTTAGGAAAAACGAAAGAAACTTGTGGCACTCTAAGATGCTTGCAGTCGTTATTGAGGCATAAGCTTTTATGATGACATAGCCGTATGCCATTATGCAAATTGGTTAGTCTTCAAGGCAGCCCTCACCAGCCTGTTGCCCTTTTGATGAAGGGCATGTAGACTGGGAAGTATGGGAGTTGTGGTCCTAACACATTTGGAGGGAACCAGGTTGGAGAAGACTCCTAAGTGTTATAAAGCTCTGCTGTTTTTGCTGCAGCAGACTTACATGACTACCTTGAACAAATGAAGTGGTAAAGTAGATGATTAGCACATGGATGCCATTAGCATAACAGCAGGTAGAAAGAAAAAGGAGTTGAGCCTTACTGACAGCTTTCTCACAGGCAGGTACAAAAGATTTCAGAAAGATCCCTCTGCTTCAAGAAATGGAGGTAATCAAGGCCAACTTCTTCCCTGAATGTCGGTGCCCTTTCCAGACAGAGAGCTATTTGAATAGAGAGCTGTTTGAAAACACAAATTGCCTTCATGTCACCTCCAGACTGTAGCAGCAAAGAGTAATGTTGAACGCTGAAAGTGAGATAAAGATGGTTAGAAAGAAAGAAACCAGCTGCTTTTTCCCTTCAATCCAGGAGGGGCCTTGTGAAGGGAGGGAGCTTAAAAGGTATCCTTACACAGATTCAGTTTCATCCTCTAAACCAGATAGAGGCACACTGGCTCTCTCCAGATTTGGAATTAGAGCACTAGGACTCCTTTATCTTTTTTTTTTTTTTGTAAGCCGTGTGGAGTCACTTTATTATGAGATGGGCAGCTATATAAATGTGATAAATAAATAAATATCTTTTGCTTTCCTGGTTGGGGCTGATGTAAGTTAGTCTAAAACTTCTGAAGAACACCAGCTTGTAGATTCTTGCTTTTTAAGGTCCTTCTTGTTCCATATAATCTTTTCAGATGTTAGAATCCCAACCCCCCTTCCAGCTTTAAAGACTCAGAGGAGCTTTTCATGAAGACCTATTCCCTCAGCCCCAAAATCCCATCCTTAGCCTTGTAGTCCTTATGTTTTGCTCAAGTTGCTCTATGTGATAAAGTAGAGTAACCTTAAAGAGAAGAATATTAGAATAAGTATACATTCAGGCAGAGGTAGGCAACCTCTGGTCCTTCAGATCTTTTGGATCATTCCAGATTAGTCCCAGCCAGCATGACCAGTGGCAAGAGGCTATGGGAATTGCAAGCGTATTTACAGTGGGGCAAAATAGTATTTAGTCAGCCACCAATTGTGCAAGTTCTCCCACTTAAAAAGATAAGAGAGGCCTGTAATTTTCATCATAGGTATA